GGGGATGGGGGCAGCCAGCGCTCAACCTGTCATCCACGTGGCTGGCCTTGTACGTAAGAGGTTATGAACAGGTGGAGCTTTCCTTACCTCTTCCCCCTCCCCCTTTTTTTCTTTTCCTTTTTTCTTTCCCCTTTTTTGCGCTCTGATTCACAATGTGACAATATATGTATAGATAGATCGGCTCACCACGCAGTTCTCTGTGACGATATATGTATGTATATATGCGTATATACATATATAGATAGCTATATAGATGGATACATAGATACATAGATACTATGTACATATATAGATAGCTATATAGATGGATACATAGATACATAGATACTATGTATACATAGATAGCTAGATAGATAGATACACACACACACACACACACACACACACACACACACACACACACAGAGAGAGACGTTCAGATACGTATAGATATGTGACGGTTAAATAAACAAATAGGAAACGGAAATTGTAGTATTTTCACCCCCAAACCCGCAAGTTGCGGAGCACGTGGCAGGCTGTCGTTTGTTTTTGTGAAAAGAATAAAAAAGAATAGAACGACTGGCACCTGCGATCAGCTATCTCAAATCGAACAGATTCTTTTTTTTCTTTTTTCTTCTTTCTTTTAATCGAACAGATTCTCAAACTACAGCTCCTCACAATGGTCTTCACCGGGGGTGCATAGGAGGGGTCGGTTGGGTGTGTCTGTACCGGGTCCAGATTATTCTGGATCGGTTCTTTCCCCCCCCACCCCTCCCCTTCTCCCTGCAGAGGACGGCCGTCTCACTGTTTCTTTACCTGGGTCGTAGCATTCTGTACCTGGTTTTGAAAAAGTGTACCTGCTGTCGACAAGCCGGAGAGACCAGCCGGCTCTGTGGTTCTGTTTGCTGGGCAAAACCATTTTTGGTGGACCTGGTTTTGATAAGGTGCGCACCATCTGGTTCGTCGTTTTCTGTACCTGGTTTGGAAAAAACGTTCAGACCGCGACCGTCGCGCTCTTTCTGTACCTGGTTCATAGCATTCTGGACCACGACCGTGACGGAGGTGCTGTTTCTGTACCTGTTTCGTAGCTACGAAAAGGTGCACACCAGCCGGTTCACCGTATCCTGCACCTGGTTTTGAAAAAAAAAAAACTGGAGATCGGCTGGCTCGCTGTTTCTGTACCCAGTTCACAGCATTCTGGACCCAGTTTTGAAAATGATTAGACCGGTCCCGCTTGCTGTTTCGGGCCCGCTTGCTGTTTCTGTAGCTGGCATTGGCAAAGATGGAGATCGGCGGCGGGCTCGCTCCTCCTGCATCTGGTTGGTAGCATTCCCGACCTGGTTTTGAAAAGGCGCAGATGGCCGGTTGGCCGTGTCCGTGTAGCTGGTTTTGAAAAAAAAGCAAGCAACCGAGTGGCTCGCTGTTCTATACCTGATTTATAGCATTTTGGAACTGCTTCTAAAAAACTGTTTCTGGTTCACACCTGCCTGCTGGGCAAAACCATTTTTTGTGGACCTGGTTTTGAAAAAGGTGCACACCGGCTGCTTCGCCGTTTTTTTTCTGTGCCTGGTTTTGAAAAAAAGCGGCAGACCGCAGACTTCTCGCTATTATCATCATCATAGATAACTTTTTTTTCTGGTGAACTGTAGGCAGAGAGGGAGAAGAGGACAAAAAAACAAACAAGGGGGTGTGAAATACTTTCGTCAGTCTGAGAGCTTTTAACTGATTCATCAGGAGGCTGAACCCACTGCAGTCCGCAGGGTTGGCTGACCAATGACTCGGGTACCGTGAGTGGGTAACCCCACGTTAACCCCACTTGTGGTTAAGCATCAAACGACTGCGGGACAACTGAAACCCACCACCAATCACTGCCCTCTCAGGGGAATAGTGGGCGCAGGAGATTGCGGATCAGTCCCCTTCTGGACGTCACGGAGGCGGCGGATGATGCAGCTATCCTCCTCGGATCCCCGATGAAAGGGTCCCGAGCTGCATGCCATCAAGTTCTCTGGTTCCGCCCATAAGCATCAACGACTGCAGGACAACTGAAACCCTGAGGTGGTGGGGACCACCAATCACTGCCCTCTCAGGGGAATAGTGGGCGCAGGAGATTGCGGATCAGTCCCCTTCTGGACGTCACGGAGGCGGCGGATGATGCTGCTATCCTCCTCGGATCCCCGATGAAAGGGTCCCGAGCTGCATGCCATCGGGTCCTCTGGTGCCGCCCGTAAGCATCAACGACTGCAGGACAACTGAAACCCTGAGGTGGTGGGGACCACCAATCACTGCCCTCTCAGGGGAATGGTGGGCGCAGGAGATTGCAGATAAGTTCCCTTCTGGATGTCACGGAGGCGGCGGATGATGCAGCTATCCTCCTCGGATCCCCGATGAAAGGGTCCCGAGCTGCATGCCATCAAGTCCTCTGGTTCTGCCCGTAAGAATCAACGACTGCCGGACAACTGAAAACCTGAGGTGGTGGGGACCGCCGATCACTGCCCGTACGATGACAGGTAGGAACCAGAGGACTTGATGGCTGCAGAAATCGTACGGGCGGCAGTACTGTGGGCCCTCCTATGGAGTTCGAGGGATGAGGGATGCCGACAGGGAGCCTCCCCACAGCTGCAGGGAGATCGAGAAAGGGTCCCGGAGAAACATCAGAGTTGCGCTACTGCCAGAGCTGCATCGATGCGAGGTCACAGGGGAACAGAAGGAGAAAGGCTTGTGGGCAAGATGGGATCCGTATCCACAACTGCTCACCCTGGACGCTCGTCGGACGGGCCAGATACAGCTTGACCCTGTTTCGGTGTGCGATGTACCTCAGATCGAAACACAGAGGAATGGGGATAGGGCACCTGACTTCCATGAGAAGCAACCGATGTGTGCCATAGCGAGGTAGTATGGGTAGGAGGAGGGCAGATACCAGAATGTTATATGTAGTATAATAGGCAGGGGGTGAAGCATAGGTGGGGGGGTAGATACTAGAAAGTTAGGGAGGGGATAGAGCTTGCACAGGGGGAAGGGCCAGCAGCTTAGAGGCCTGGGGGCTTTCATTTGAAAACACAAACACAGGATGCTGTGCTGTTGGGAAAAGAGGCGTAAGAGCGGCAACAAAGAAAATGCTTAATAGGGAACGACTTTGCACGCTCTTATGCCTGTTCCCTATTAAGAGTTTTGATTAAGGGCTATCGAAACTTTTAATAGGGAACTGTCACCCAACTTGGATGACTTTGCACGAGTCGTCACAACTGCGGATACATTGTAGGTGGGACAAATAAAAAGGGGACCCCTACAACGCCAAACAGGGGAAGTATGGATCCAATAGCGCACAGATAGATGCAGAAGAGCAGATTGACACAGAGCGACCATCTGGGGACTGCGGGCTCATCAGGATTGGGTAAGGGGCGTAGAGAGATATGATGTAGGATATGACGTAGGCATGACTTAGAGCCTTCGGAAAGAAAAAAAAAAAGAAAAAAAAAAAAAGAAAAAGGCATGATTCAGGCATTCTAGGAACCAGCCAGGGATTGGACACGCGGCCTGCGGGACTGCCCGGTAGGCCCCTCCGACACTATGCCTCCCCCTGGGGACCCTTCTGCTGCGTGTCTGGGTGCTGCTACCGTCTTCCCCCGAACACAACGCATCCTCATTATGACAGCATCCGACTGGAAAGATGGCTTGTATACATTCAGAATCAGGGTTTGTTATGTTCGGGGGAAGACGGTAGTAACTTAAGCTTCCCGACCGGTAGGATAGCCCCCCGTAGAGGGGCCAAGGGTTGGGGGTGGGGCGCTCCACTCCACAGCAGCCCCACCCTTGCTTAGGCGGTTAGTGCCACAAGGGCTAGGCTGATCTTCTTCTCTTATCTTTTTGCCCCCACCGTCTTTGTATGAACATGCTTGCCGGTGCGGCAATACTGACGCCTCCCAGAATAGAAGGGGCCTTTAGTGTTTTGGGAAAATGAACAAAAAAACAAGGACCTGGCCGGTAAACCGTAGGCAGAGAGGGAGACTGGAGGACACAAGAAACAAACGAGGGGCTGTGACAATTTGAAACTGTTTTGTCGGCGTTTCACCAACTCATCAGGAGGCTATATATTTGACTCTTTTTTCGCTTTGTCCTGTTTTTTACTTTTCTTATGGGTGCAACAAAGGTTGCCCCGGGTGGTAGTAGTGTCTGCTCTTATCAGCACCACTACCACCGGKGGGGGTGTTTMAAAAAAAAAAAAAAAAAAAAAAAAAAAAAAGGTTGTCTTGTTCATGTAGCTGAGTGGCAGGGGGGCCTACTTGCAATGTGCGTTTTYTTTTTTTTTTCTCCTGTTTCGCTTGTTTGTCAAGCTGTGTGTGGACTAACGAGTGTGGAGATTTCAAACTGTTTCCTTGTGCGGCGTGGTGATTGATGACGGGGCAGACTTTCTATTTTAGGTAGGAAATGTACTGTGTGGGGCACGGTCGATGATGTGCGAAATTACCAATATAGCGGCCATAACTTCTTCAGCCTGCTGTATGCGCGTGCTGCGCCGAGTACCCGTGGCTGCCGGTACAGGTGGTTGGCAGTTATGGAAATCCCTCGGGAGGGCAGAGGCAGGTGGCCATACCTGGTTTGGCCTTACCTAGTAATGATGCTGTGCATGTGCAGCAGCAGCTATGGTGGATGCGAGAGCGTAACGGGTGACGACATCGATGTGACGTTTGGCGACGTCAGTGGAGATATGTGGGGAGTCTGTCTTCAGCAAGTCGAGGTCCCCTTACGCTGTCCAGGTAATGGTACACATGTGTACAATGCGGTCGTTAGGGATATCGTATTTGACCCAAATGGGACCACATTCTACTACATACTCGATGAGCGCTGTATTTTGAACGAGACGATCACTCACTTGGTGCAGTCGATTCGCAAGGCGGATCGAAAAGACCCAAGCAAGGCGCAGTTGTTGAGCTACGGGTGGCCGGCAGAACTGGACAACCTGACCAGGCCACCGGTAGTGGATTTGGACACGTTGCCTCCAGGCAGTGCTGATATCGCAGCAGCTATGTCTCGGGTGGTGCAGATGGACCTCTCGCCAAGCGCCTTGTACCTTATCATATCTGTGAACACGATGGGACGGAACGAGTCAGCCTTGAGGCTCGTGTCCACCACGACGGGGTATCGAGGCCCCATTTCTCTGCCAGATAAGAATGTGTACACGTGGGCATTCGGTCCGGACAGCCGAAGAATGTACACGGTGGATGACAATCAACCGGAGAAACTGTTTTCGATCGCAGTCGACGACTCCGGAAGACCGGTCAACATGAGCGACTTCGCAATTGCGAAGGAAAATTTAACCGTCGGTGGCTCGTCCGGTGAGCTTTCGAAGACGGTGTTGAGCACACGCGGCTTGGCAGCGAACTGCTCCTGTCTATATTTCCACGAGCAATGGGGTTCTGCAGTGTGGGGTGCGGATCTCAACTCCCCTGATCCGGCCACTATGGTGGACAGGCTCCTCGACAACGAGGAGCCTTCTTTCCAGATACGAGATGTTGCGGTGACGTCAGATGGGTGTAATGTCTTCGCAACCGATAATAAAGGCTCCCTTTGGTGGGTGAGGACGCACTCGCCATGCGGCAGAAAACAAAAGAAAAGCCCGATGTTGCCCGACCCCGAAGTCCCGCCGTTCTGGGGCTTGGCTCTCCGTGAAAAAGATGATACCGTCGCGGTGTATGTTGGAACAGAGGACGGCCGACTGTTCGAGCTGGAAATTTTCAAGTCAGACATCAGGTGTGCTGCGAATGATGGGGGAAACGGGACATCGATGGCCCTCCGTAGTGACCATATACCCACTGTCGTTCGTATCGTAAGTACAGTGGTTGCTGGGGTTCTTCTCATTGTAGGGCTTGTGCTCGTCTTCCGTAAGCTAGTGAAGCCTTTAGCTAGATACCGCTCAGGCCGGAAATCATTATCAAAGCTGGGTACGGCACGGGTAGTAGGGTCGCCCCAAGAACCAAGCGACAGCGCTCACCTACGTCAACTGAATTTGATAGAGTTTGAACTTGAGGTGTTGGCGCAGAGCACGGAGAACTTCAGCCAGCATTGCCGGGTCGGCAAGAAGAGGGGTTCCTTTGGCGGGGAAGTGTACATGGGTTGCGTCGACAAAGAGGAGCTGGCAATTAAGGTGATGACTGCCAACAATCTGACAGAAAGCAGAGCCGACGAGTTCCGGACGGCAGTCGCTGACCTGGGCAGGTGCCGGCATTCCCACCTCGCCGATTTGATCGGCTACTCACATCAGGGCAATCGCTTCATTCTGGTCTATCCCTACTTCCTGGGAGGCAGTTTGTACTCGCGCTTGCACGAGCACGCAAAGAGACGTCGGCCATTGTTACTGCATCGCCGATTGTCGGTAGCCTTCCAGGTGTCCAAGGCCCTCGGCTACCTCCACACTTGCAAGGAGGAGCCAGTCATCCATGGAAATCTGAAGAGCAGCAACATTCTTCTCAGCAATAGCCTGGGAGACGTCGTTCATGTCGCTGTTGACGGTTATGGGTTGTCAGCCATGGCAGAGCAAGTCTTCTCCAGGCGGCATGACGAGGTTGTGAGGTCTGCGCAGGCTACAGGTTCGCTTGGGTACATGTCGCCTGAGTACCTTCACCAAGGCAAGAGGTCTGAGAAGAGCGATGTGTACGCTTTTGGGGTTCTTCTGCTGGAGCTGCTTACGGGGAGGCAGGCGGTCACCCGCACACCCTCCTGCTCGGCCACCGGCTGGCAGACTCTTGTTGATTGGGTCAAGCCATTCCTCACAGCGAATGTGGCCGATGTGGCGATGCCGTATGTTGTCCTGGACTCGTCCCTACGGCACCAGGCAGCCAACGCTGTGGCAAGGGAGCTGGTCATGGGGCTGCTGGATCTGGCGGCCAAGTGCGTACAGGAAGATGAAGCGCGCCGGCCCCGGATGGTCTTTGTTGAAGGCAGGATCGCCACCATCATAGCTGAAGCGGACGCACTCAGTTCTATCAGTGTGGAATAACTTTTAGCCGTTTGCAGTCGAAGCACTGCAGTCACGTGCAGTGCAGTCGCTGCCGGGACAAATCCGGAGAGCCGATCGCAGTGGAGTCGGTGCTGTCAGATAACCGCTGCCGTTTGCAGTTGGAACAACTTCTAGTGGTATCAGTGTGGAATAACTTCTAGTGCATATAGTTGACCTGACCTGCTGCACAGTGAAACCGCTGCCAGATTTCGTCATATGTGAAGCGGACACACTCAGTCCTATCAGTGCAGAATAACATAGTAGCGGCTTACAGTGGAATCGCTGCAGTGGAAGGATGCTGGGGAATATAGCCAGAGAGCCGTTTGCAGGGGAATGGCTGCTAGATAACTGGTGCGGTTTCCAGTGGAACTGACTTCTAGTGGATTCAGTGGACCTCCTGGGGCAGAATTGCCGCTGGATTATCAGAGCCGTAATCCGTTTGCAGCGGAATGAACTTCTAGTGGGCATAGCCGGAGAGCCGTTTGCAGGGGAATAGCTGCTAGATAACTGGTGATGTTTGCAGTGGAACTAACTTCTAGTGGATTCAGCAGAATCCCGGCTGGATTATCAGAGCCGTAATCCTTTTGCAGCGGAACGAACTTCTAGTGGGCATAGTTGAACCACTGCTGGATTACCAGAGCCGTCTTCAGTGGAACTGGTCTGCCTTGTACCATTGCTGTTTGCAGTGGGACCTCCGCAAGTGGGCCATTATTGTGCTTGCAGACGAGCAAGCGCAGTAACTGAGCAAGCGCAGTAACTGGAGTAAGTACCTGACAATTATGTTCTGCAGAGGAGGAGGAGGAGGAGGAGAGGAAGGAGGAAGAGAATTTGAGGAGGAGGAGGAGAAGAGGTGGTTGAGCAGGGGGAGAGGAGGAGGAGGAGGAGGAGAAGAGGAAGAGAAGGTGAGGAGTAGAGGAGAGGAGGAAAACAGAGGAGAAGGAGAAGAGGAGGAAGAGAAGGTGAGTAGAGGAGAGGAGGAACACAGAGGAGGAGGAGAAGAGGAGGAAGAGCGTGAGGAGTAGAGGAGAGGAGGAACACAGAGGAGGAGGAGAAGAGGATGAAGAGAAGGTGAGGAGGAAGAGGAGAAAAGGTGGAAGAGAATTTGAGGAGGGGGAGAGGAGGAGGAGGAGGAGAGGAGGAACACAGAGGAGGAAGAGAAGTTTAGAAAGGCTTAGTTCCTCCCCTCCTCCTCCTCCTCCTCCTCCTCCTCCTACTCCTCACCTTGTCTTATTCCTCTTCTCCTCCTCCTCAGGAGTCAGGAGGAAGTGAGCCATGAGGGACAAACAAGAGGTTCTGTGGCGGGCGAAGGGAAGGGGGAAATGGTGACTGGCGGCTGGAGAGATTGCGGCGCTCATGGCAGCGAAGGGTGGGGATTCAGTGGAGGTGATGTTGACGCAAAGCCTTATGGCGATGGCCACTATCGCAGCTCTGCATGACGCTGTTCTCGGTAGTGATCTTTCCGTCTCATCCGGCCGCCTATTGGCCATAGCGAGGGCCTAAAGTCAATAGGAAAGCACGCCGGGCGGCAATGCACATTTCCAGAGGAATTGAGTCTTGAGTTCTGGCTGACCAAGGGACTATCAGAAGGTACAAAAAAAGTAAAAATGCAAGGGAGGAGAGACACCAGGTCGGGAACGCAACTGCCGATGATTGTGTCGTCGAGTTTCGAGTTCTGGCTGACCAAGGGACCTATCGGACGGTACCAAAAGAATAAAAATAAAAGGGAGGAGAGACACCAGGTCGGGAATGCAACTGGCGATGATTGTGTCGTTGAGTCTTGAGTTCTGGCTGACCAAGGGACTATCGGACGGTACCAAAAAAATAAAAATAACAGGGAGGAGAGAGACCAGGTCGGGAACGCAACCGGCGATGATTGTGTCGTAGAGGTGCTGACTGAGAGCATCATCACTCACACGGTGACATTCCCGGATGTATCGGACTGCGATTGGGGCTGCTCATGGATGCATCTGACCGCAATTACGACCAGAGAGGGATCAGTCTAAAAAGTCCTGAGACAGGCGAAAGTCGGCGGAAATGGCATACGTTGGGTTCACAGCGGCAGTTAATTTTTGCAGACTATGGGGCCACAAGGCAGGGAGCTTGCCGGGCAGCTTTCGGCCGGACAGAGAGAGGTGTTATCGACGGCTTTTTTTTTTTCTTCCCTTTCGTACGAGTCTGCTCATCCAAGCCGAAAGAGACCTTTTTTTTTTTTTTTTTTTTTTTTTTTTTTTTCTTTGCTTCGTCTTTGATTGTAGAACCGGCTTGCTGACGGATTCGACATGTGTTATGTAGAGGTCGATCGATTTTCACGGCCTTCTCCTGTAAAGGCATCACCATTGAAACTTCCTTCTCCTTTTTCTCTCTTCATCTCCTCTGATGTCCAATGGCAGCCTCAGTGTTGTTGTTACGTGCCCAGTTGGGCGATGTACGTATATAACCGAGGGTCCGCAATGTGATAAAAAGGACTGAATGGACAATGCAGTGCAAGTAGAATCTCAACAAGCAGTGTACATACTACATTCTGATAGTACATACAAAAATGTGTGCTTTATAGCGCAGGGAAGACTTAGATACAAGTCCTGACCTGACCGGGACTGACCTCTCACATGTGGTACAAGACAGCGGAGCAGAATGCTAGAATACCAATGACAAGCCCAATCAATGTCGCATGACAGACCAAACATACATCAGCCTTATCACAAAGTGTGAAGGGGCCTGGCGCTACACACAGGAAGAAGGCGCCAGGCCCCGACCATGCACAGACGAAGAGGAGGGAGACCGACGAAGGAGAGGAGGAGGAGGGGGAGATGGGAAAGTTGACGTCAACACCAAGTCTTCGTTACAAGTCCCAAATAATCCTGCGTCAAAATGTCTGAAGCCCGATGTCGAGTCTGGATCCAGTGTCACCAAGCTCTCTCTCTCTCTCTCTCTCTCTCTCTCTCTCTCTCTCTCTCTCTCTCTCTCTCTCTCTC